TCTTTTTTCTTTCTGCCTACAAAGTAACCATTGTGTTCTAACTCAAATAGCAATATTTTAAATTGCAGGGGGGAAGGAGGACAATGAAAAAGAAAACAAGTGCTTAAATCTAAAAGAGTAGTTTTCTTAAAATATGGACTTGTTAACACTGGGCTTCATTATTTATTTATTTCTTTATTAGCGCCCCCCCTTTTTTTTTTTTTACCTCCTTTATTCAGCTTTTTCTTCACATTTTCCTAATTTGGGTGCTTTCCCAAGTGGCAATGAATAAGCTCCTCCTTAAGTAGGCATTGTCAGACAAATGTTTTGGAGTTTAAGAGAATTTTAGTGTAAAGGAAGCCTGGAATATTTCTCCATCTCCTTTTCTCCTCCTGTCAACAGTATATCTGTTGCTTAATTCAGTGTATCTAAAATAAAAGGATGCTTGATAGGTTTTATTTTTTGATTTTGACTTACTAAAAATACAACTCTGTATACTTTTTTCCTAGCTTTGAAGTCTGTCTCTGTCTTCACCATTCAGAAATGTTCGTCAGCGTGCATATATAACATCCAGTACTTACTAGCTCATGTGAGGCTAACTTCATTTATGTATAAACTACACAAATGCAGAAGTTGAGTGCAGAAGGTACATTTATACAGAAGACTATAAGGGATGAAAATAGATTTTGGAGTTTTTGGTTTTTAATCTTTCTTGTTTAATATATATACATCTAAACATCAGTGGAATATAATATATTTATAACTTATAAAATATAGGTAATAAATTTTCAAATAAGTTATAAATCTTTATTCAGTGATCAAATATTTGTGTGTGTAGTCTAATGTTAAATACTTTATTCTGTTTGTTTTTCCTTGCAGATTTGTTCCTTACTACATCACCAGATTCACAACTCATTCAGTTTGAGACATGGGTTAATAAGGTAAGAAGAAACCCCAAATAATTATTCTGTTAAAACACAGAGAAGTTTTGGTGGTTTTTGGTTTGAGTTTTGTTTGTTGGTTTGTTTTGGTTTGGTTTTTTCCAAGTCATCTGGTATCCCTTGTTTCAGGAATGAGTGGAACTGATGTTAAGAAGTACTGACTGCACTACTGCATTCAGACCGCAGTACATTGCTGAAGGAGATCTTTTACTCAGCATAAGTTTCTCTGCAGATTTTGTTTTAACATGACTACTGAGTAAATCAATCAGACTGCCTTCATACACCTTAGCAGGACACCTGGTGTGTCATCAGCTGTTCTAGGAGGTTACTGATGCTTAGTATGCTGATTTACGAAGAAAAGGCTGATCAGCTTTATTCTTTCTGTATCAAAGACTTGATTTTTTTAAGTAAGCTTTCTTAGAACTATGACATCAGGTCTTGGGTAAGATTTTGTGGGACAGATGTTAAAAAACTCACTTCTAACCGTTACGATATGTATGCAAGTTACAATTTGAGAAAATTCAGAGTCCTGTTAACCAAATATCACAAATGCAATTCAAGGTTGGGGAGAAATAGGTCAATGGATTATTTTTATTTATTTGTTTATTGAGATTCTGCTTTTGTATTGCTTTACCTGGCCAAGGTCAATGAAGAACCTCATTGTTAATAACAATTTATTACATTAGTTCATTTGAAACTAAATGTATCAGGACTGTAGTTAAGAATCTTAGCATGTGTGTTTTAAAATAAAGTGTTTAATGTGTTTCTTTTTAGCTAAGGAATGAGTTTTTGAGGCTTTATTTACCTGAAAATTTATCCATCATATTATAGTCTTGAGGGATTGAGTGTTAGTGACTACACAAAGCATTTGACCTGTCTCCTGTAGGTGATGGAGTTTTTTTGGTTTTATTTTCTTACAAATTTTGGATTTTTCAAACTCGCATATTCTAAATATTATCCTATGTTATATATTTTGTATGCTTAGATTTCCTTATCTGTAGAAAGAAAGAATTCTATTCTTTGGAATCAATCAACCCAGTGAAATATGTCATACATATAAAATATATGTACATATATATCAATCTTAAAATACCCTAATGGATCCGTTAAAAGCTGTTAAATTGCTCTACAAACTGAGGCAAAGTAATTCGTTTCACTGATGCACCATAAAATGCTTTTAAAATATTTGCCTGTATAGTATATGCTTTTCTGGACAACTGAGCACAGGGCCTAGCTTTCTTTTCTGCTTGGAGATTATTTGCATCAAATTTTTTTTTCCCCCTCATCTGAGTCTTTATAAATTATATGTCAAGGTAAAGATACTTAGTCAGACCTTTAAGTCTGACTCTGGAGTTGCATCTTCAACAGCATTGAAGTCTACAAACTGAATATGAGTAAGCAATATGGATAAATATACATAATCCATAAAATAGTATTATTTCTCTCAATGGCTTTACATATACTTGTGTGCGTAGCACTTTCTATGAGCTGATTGCATCAGCTAGAAAAGTGGGCCTTAGGTCATCTTAATTGGTTACAAAAATTTAACATTTTAAATGCTTTTATTCCAGTTGTGATCCAGTTCTATGATAAACAAGGATCCAGCACTCCTCTTTTGTCTTCTTGATGAAACACTGGAATATTGTTTTCTGCAGGCCTAGGTTTTAATAATCAACAATTAAAACAAGACTTAAACAAGACCTAATGTAAAATCAAGTCATTTCCCAATATCTATAAAATTACATGTCAATATGCATAAATGCACATTAGTATTCATAATCACTTAATTATGATTTAGATTATGTTGCTGAAATAACCCAATCTCTTTCTCATAACACAGCAAAATATATGGACAATGGTATCTGAATATTACTATTACTGGATTTCCATAAGATTCGAAACGCAAAAACTCAGTCCTAATTTTCAAAGAGTGCGCTTTTTTCCATAGCTGAGATGTCTCTATTATCTGCTTAAGCGCTTTTTGATTGATGTGTATTTTCTTTGGTTTAAGAGTCAAATTTTATTGCTTAGTCCACAATTCAGTTTTTCCATCATCTTTGTCCTGTTTGATAGGATGGGAACTTCTCTAAACCTGGAAACAGTAAGGCGATGCCTAGTGGTGCGCGAATTGTTGGACAGTCCGTGTTTGCAGATTTTGGTGAGTTTTATTCTTCTAAACTATCCTGAGTGTTTCATTCTCTTTCATATTTTGGTTAGCTACTCTAAATCAAAGAATAAATAAAGATATTTAGCTGTAAAAGGTTTTTTGGTGGTTTTGTTTTGGGTTTTTTTACTTTTTTCCTTTATGTTATTACGTGTATTTGACTGTAAATCTTGAAATATCTGGGAATAATTATTAATAAATTAAATTAAACTTTGGCTTTCCCAGTACATTCTGCATGACACATCTACTTATGAGTGCCACACTTAAGGACATGTACTGTTGTCTTTATCAGACAGGTATTTTGTTTGTCATGATTTTGTTCTTTTCCCTAATCTTGTTCAGCAGATACTATTTGAGTAAATGTTCATAAATTCTTCACTTGCATTAACTAATAACACCAAAATGTAACTTAATTAAAATCATTTGTATAAAAATTGATGAAACATGTTAAAATCTTAACGGTTGTAATTGAAAATCCTGTAAGGCTTTTGGACAGAATCAAAACTTAATGTATATGTAAATCTGGTTTTGGAAGGGTTAGCAAAAGCCTATATTTTTCTATTAGAATGTACTTTTTCAGTCAGTTGTGTCTTATCAATGCGTATGTCCTGTTATGAACAGGAAATGTTGGGTTTGTAGTCCAAAAAAATACCTTTTTTCTGTACGTTAAAATAAGAATTTGCAAACCAAGTTCCCTTGCTACAGGTCTGATTCTGCTGACACTACTGAATGTAAATAGCTTATTGAAATAATTTACTGTATTTATACAACACACTTGTTAATTCTGAGACTGAGCCTGTCTTAAATGTTGTCAAATGGTAGCCTTGTTGCATCATTTTTATTTAAAATCTGTAGAAGTCATCTCTTCTGGATAGTTAATTATCCTTGGATCCTTATCTAGCAACAATGGATGGATTTACAGATCTAGAGTAAATGATATAAAGTAGAAGCTGAACAGTGCTCTAGGTTCTTCTGTGAAATGTTTAACACATCTTCTAATATCTTTGTAAAAGTTTTTGTAAAATATATACACAAATGTTTATATAATATCTGAAAGAAAAAAAAAATACTACAGTTTCTGCAGTTAAAAAAAAAAAAAATTGGGTTTTTTGTAACCATTTTCCAGTCTGATGTTCTGAATAATGTGTCTTGATAGGTACTAAGTAGAAATCAGTTGTGGTTTTTTTTTAGTTTTTTTTTTAAGCAATCTTTATGTAGGGTAATTTAATCTCTATCATTAGGTAGCTAATGAGCCCAAATGATAGATCATAATTCTATAAGTTTATCATTATTAACAGAATTTTAATAAACCCTGGGATATCTTTGCAAAGTAAAGTGGAACTGGTCAAATGCTAAGTTTAAGATTTCGGAACTGTGCACAGAGTGGATGTGCAGTGATACAGCAGTGGGGTTCGCTGTGTGGCTTTGGTACAGCCAAGGTTATGGAAGACAACGAGCGGTATGGCTAGCGCAGCCACGGGGGCTGCTGCTTCAGAGTTCCATCACCAGTTGTTTGATACCCTGCTCTGCTAATTATCACCAAATCCATAGGCAGTGCACTAGTGTGAGGCAGCAGTGGAGCAATCTTTCTAGTAAGAATGACTATAGTGGGAGAAAATGCTTGCAGGGACTTAAGGAATGTATGCAAATAAATGTAGAGGGACAGCATAGAGAGGCAAGGAATCATCAGTGTCATCTATGGGAGGAGATGCTCGCTTTTCAGAAGCTGACTTTTTGGAACTGGTTATTCTGAAAGATCTCAGCCATTTCATCTCTGAGAGAGAACATCCAGCACAGATATTGCAATATGAGAGGGTTTTTCCTCCTCTCCTTGAACAGCTACATACACGTAGAAATGCATATACATAGAAAATGCCTTACTGGAAATGATTTGTCAGACTTAAACATCTCCTTTTTTCAGTTTTCCCTGTTTCAAAAATGATGAAATAATGATTGTCGTAAGTCAAAGGAAATTAAGGTATGATAACGTGCAGTTTGAAATAGTAATTTGGCTATCTGTAGTGGGGCCTGAAAGAAATTTAATTGCACAACAAATGAAAATAGCACAATGAAAATTTAAAATGAGGTGCATTAGAAGATTGCACTACCTTCTAGCTAAGTAGCTTTTGCCAAACTACATGTGATACACTAAGCAGAACATACCATGGGGCTGTCACTTTGCTCTGTGCACGCTGCAAGTGTCTTCACTGTTGGCACAGGGGTACAGCTGCTGTGACTACAAACGGGTTCAATATACAGTCACAAGCCTGCTACGTTATTTCTGTTGTCTGCCTCTGTTTTCTTCCCCTTTCTTGACATTTTCTGTACCTCATAGCTGATGTGCCAGCCTTGCCATTCACTAGAGGTCTCAAAGGATTCTATATTTCTCTGTGCTTTCAGTTTCTGCCACTTCTCATTTACTAAATCTTGTGCATATTGGAATAACGGAATAATGTCAAGTCCAGACATGAGCTGGGGAGTATGTCACTAGTGCTGCCACCTTGTAATTTACACCCACCTTTCTATTTGTACGCTGCTGCACTTCTGCAGTCCAAGATTCTGATTTACTGATCACACCTACATCTTCACAAAACATGTTTTGTTTCAAAAGATGACTTTGTCTAACATTATTTCCTGCTCCCAAAAGTTTTATTTGAGGTACCCTTTCCAGCCATAAGCATTTACATGTTATTTGAAAAAAAAGGGGGGAGCTTTGACTAAGATCCTGACTGAGAATCCCCAAAGACAACTGATATTGGGTAAGGCTTCCTTTCTTAAACTAAGCAAGTTGAACAATAGCTATCAAGTAGAAATTTATTTAGATAAGTGGAGCTGGAAAAAACAACAGTTAGGTGACTCATGAGAAACTGTCACAGATGTTAGTGTAATCTTAGCACCAAGTGTTCCTGCAGTACTCAAATAATAAAGATATATTTTTTTCATGAAAAAGATATGCAAATGTATGTTTGTATACATCTGTATGTATGTATTTGTAAGGTCTACTATATTTCTGTATGTATATGTGTGTATATGTGTGTGCATATTTTAATAGACAAATATGTAAAAGCAGGTGTATATATCAATATATTTATGGTAATATAGTAGACCTTAGACATAATGTCTAAATTTGAACCTCAAAAATAAGTAGCACTCCTCTCTCTTATGTGATAGCAATGATTTGTACATTAACCTGACCAAAGGACAGTGAACAATTGACAAATTTGTATTGCCTTTTTAAAAATAAATCAGAAATGCTTTGTGACATATTTATTACAAATGGCACTTCAGTTGATTAAGGTGAGCAAAGCTGAGCACTAGAGAATTCTGCACTTATTTGGCTGACACATTGCTCCAAACAAGTAAGAGCTCTTCATTATTACTTTTTCTATTCTTCTCATGTCACTATGGTAATTGCAGTGCAGTGGTTGCTATAGCAAAAATGATTAATCCTCAGTTGTTGTTATCTGTATGCTAGCAGAGGCTTTTTATAAGATCTGCTTGTACTGTCTTTAGAGGAAATCACAGATGTTGGCTAAAGTAATGATAAATAATTGCAATTATAAAGAGTTTTAATAATTGTCACTTAATAGTGAAAAGATTTGTATTACTTAATAAGGATTTCAGTGGGATGCTCTGAAAATGACGAATTTATTTTATTTTTATTTTTTTTTAGTAACAAGATGAATGTGAACCATATTTTGGACACACAAACCTGCTATTTTCTTGTTACTTTTAAAGATATATTTCATTAACCTTCAAGTAGTGACCCAGAAGCAATTAGCATAGAACATTGCGCTGTTTATACAGTCTATTGATTAATTTTTATAGGAAATTAATGTTATAACTGCTATTCAGCTATGATTGGTTCAGTTGGATAGTGGAGACTGATAAATTGTCCTTTGTGATATCTGATCTAAGAATGTAAAAGTTTGATTAATCAGTCATTGATTTTGCTTTGTTTAGGCAAAGAAATTTGTTGCAGCCTGTATGTAAAGAGAATAAAAAATAGCTTTTCTAAATCAAACGAGATCGTACTGTTGATAGTGTCCTCATCAGTAAATACAATACAACTCTTACTTTCCCAAGGTAGCATTTAGCCAACTCCACTTCAGTTCTTTATCTCTTCCTTAGCATTTGTTTTCATAGCTGCTGCTGGGTCTTTATCTGTGTGGTCTTCCCTAATTTATGAAATTTGTGTTTACTTCTACTATACAAACTTGCTTACTTCTTGACAAAGCATTGATTGGGATTGTTCAAGTTCTATCCAAAGTCTTTTAGGGACCTGAACTCATATTTTTCTCATATTTAAAATAGTTATCCAACTAATCTGTCTTTCTCCCTACCAAGTAATTGAACTGTTTCATTTATGTTAACTACTTGTATGACATATGGTAGAAATTATCATTTTTCTCATAGGAAACAATAGCTCATTATTACCAGTTAATTATGTTTTCACAGGATGACAGAGTGACTAACCTTTGGAGTTTTTTAAAGCCATTCATTGCACTGTGCAAAATGCATTTTGGTGAAAGATTTTTGTGTAAAGTAGACTTTGATTATCCTGCCGCTGATGATATCTTAAATGCACTTTTTTCTGCCTGCAGTTGCATTACAATTTTGTAGTTTTTAGTTTTGTCTATCAACTTTGATTTAGCATCTGAATTTCTTTAGTTTTTTCCTTCTCTTCAGAACGTTGCATCTACAGATGTACTGGCTGTGTATCAAAGGAAGATTTTAATGGTGCATTTCAGTAAATAACGCCTTTATATCAATTGTCTTTTGAGCACTGCATTGTGAAAATATACTAGTGCTCCTGTAGTCAATAAAAGGAGTCTGTAAGAACCTTAAGTCGCAGGCAGACAATACGTCTGTGCTTGAAATGCTCTGCATGCGAGGAAAACTGTTCTTACTGTGATGAGTTTGGGTGAAAAAGATATAAAAGCTGATGGTAATAAAGAATTCTGAGTGACTTTAGACAAGGAAGAAGTTGTTTT